TTAAGACTTAAAATGACAGAACAATCGATAAAATTACTTATGAAATATGACATAATTCAAATGTACGCTGCAGAAACGCTGGATTGAGGAAATACGTTAAACCCAAGGGAAACGTACCGGCTGGTTCTACCAAGGACTCAGGAATAACAAAGCCGCAAATTTAAGAATAATAAGTTTAAGGGTATAGTAATAGTCTTCTCGCGAAATCTATATTGGTCAGATAATGTAAGAATATACACAATTGAACACCTGCCTTGACGGCTTTATTTCACGTTGGTCTTTTTCATCCACTTAATGGACTTACAACGCCACTATCGCCTGAGTGCCTTCAATAAAGAACCTTCGTACATGGTTTTGCCGGACCACCTCGAGCTATCTAATCTCTTGTCATAGCAGTACCGTTACGGAATGACAGCCAACATTAGATCAATCGCAATGAATTCCCCGACAAGGAAAAAGCTATCACTGATCTAAAGTCAATAGATAGGGGCGACCCCAGCATCAGGTGAAATCAATTTTCTGGTTTCTCACGCCAAAAGCTGACTACCCATTTGATGCCATGAAAGATTGCATTATTCCAATCCCCATCATCTAATGACCCATTCCAATGCTTTCATAAACCTCTTAAAACCCGCGCAACCAAACTACTGAGATGGTTCTATTGAGTCAGCAACAGCATCTAGTGGTCAATTGTCATACCGAATCACGGACTCCATAATAATTTGACAAGACTAATTTCAGTGGCCATTATCTCCAATATTACACCATCTTCTTCACCCCACCATTCATAGCATCTCTTTAACCTTCTCACTCCATCCATCTTCTCCAACACTTCCATCTCTTCCAACAGTTATGCCTCTCCGACTCGTCAATGTACTCCAACACTTTCAAATCTTCCATCAGACACATCATCTCTGTATTATCAGCTCATTCCCAACATTTTATACCACAACACTGTGGTTTGTACCGCTCCTAGGAACGATATCGGAAGCTTATCCTGAAAATCCGACCAACTTTCCCTTCCCGCGAATTTTGGTATAAACTACAGCCACTACGTGGATCCCAAAGGAACCTCAACCAACTGACAAAGTTCAGCGGGTAATTGGCCACCCGTAGTTACAGATTATCTGGCGATTTGGTTCCATGTCAAATTATTCCAAGGAAAGGCCGATGATACATTTGATCATCAACAGTTTATAGTCCGGGCAGACTAGAGTTATTGGTAGCACCTCTTTAGAGGATTTTACCAAGGTAACATGACCCCAGGGGTAGGTCTTGGGTAACTATGCACAGAGACAGCTATAACAATGAGCAGTCATGTGAATTAGCCAGAACGGAATCTACTTTAAATTAAATCCTGTGCTTCTTCAGTTGTAATTCCGTTGGGTTCTATGAACAGTAGTATCTTCAGATTCTTTCTTTTAAAGCCTGAAAATATATGGAATAACCTAGATATATCCTGAGTGGTCACGTTAATGTGACACTCTTTCGATATCGAAGATGCTCGAAGTAATAAATATATATTGCTTACAAGCAAGTCGTCTTGATCTCTCCTTTAATGAATACAGGTACTGGATTTATTCGATTGCTAGTTTGTTTTAGGCGACAATTTAATGAGAGCAACAAGGTTCGACCCATGCTCTACAAATCATATACATATGTATAACAATTTGATGTTTGGCTTCGGTTTCGGAATGTTACTACATACTTATTTATCAATATTTTAACCTACATTCGATTCCTCCGATTTTTAGTTTATAGTAAATCCGTGAAATCTGAAGTATTTTCGCTTTGAGTAGGTCCGCGTTTATTAATCGATTGTTTAAAAGACATGAAATGTTTTTAATTTAGTTTTTGCCAAAATCACTGCTATTTTTATGACCACAACTTTAGGTGTGTGTGTGTGTATGTATGTATGTAGCGGTGAGTTAGATAAAGTGTCCAACAATTTAGTAGATATATTGCTATACAGTAAATCGTGTCGTGTACTTGATGGCAGATGATCATGACGATGATGATCTCGATATATAAATCTACATAGATGTATGTTTACAACTCATTATGAAAACACACACACACACAGGCACACATACATAGCTAACTATATATACATGAATGTATAAGAAAGTTTATTAGGGTGATGCCAATTTATAGAAATCTAGTTGAAAAAATTTCATTAATTAAAAATTTTGCAAGAGTAAACCAGTTACAATCTTGTCGTGATGCGAGGACATACTGTGATCTTGGATTTATGATTCATTTAAGTCCCGGACTTGCAGTTGACCATTGCCTTTAAAGATAGTAAAGAGCTTAGAAGCAAGAGAAACGAAAAGAACGGACGGACAAAAACAACGAATGAGTAGTAAAGGTGGATGTTACTGCGAGGGTTCTAAGAGTGGTGACACTGACATTGTAAAGGAGGGGGAGGGGGGTGTGTATGAGTTTCTGACAAAACGTGTGCCGCTCAGAAGTTTGAGAAGCTGGCATTGTCCTTTGATGGAGAACATGACATCACTGCAATATCAACTTAGAGTTCAAAAGCTTAGACATCGCAGTAATATCATGCTCCCAGTCACAAGACGAAGTCATTTCCAAAAATTCTGAGTGACACAAGTTTCACCAAAGGAATCCTTACGACAATCCTATGGGACTTAAAGCAGGCATTCGAAAGAAGGCCATCCATATGACGTAAAGAACGCCAATCTTGTTTGACAAGTCTCCGTGGAGGAGAGAAACTTCTGTTGGCCGAAAAAGGAGGTGAACGACACCACTGGGTATTGTAGCATCGTTCTGTCATCAATTGCCAAGACACTTGAGGCACTACTCCTCCCGGAACTGCAACAACACCTACATCTAGCAGATCATCAACATGGATTCCGCCTAAAGCACAGTACAACAACAGCTTTAACCGCCATCACCACACAAGTTTGCCACGGCCTTAATCAGGCCCGACCATGTCAACGAACGGTCCTCGTGGCACTCGACCTATCAAAGGCGTTTGATACGGTCAATCACGCCATTCTCTTCAGAGACATTTTCACATCTGATCTCTCCGACAACATCAAGAGATGGCTTGTGAATTACATGTGTGGACGACAGTCATTTGTGGAGTTTAAGAACAAGAGATCTAAATCTCGTAGAATTAAACAGGGAGTACCCCAAGGTGGAGTCATTTCGCCGATACTGGAGCGCCAGCTCTAAAGCTGTCAAAACGCAGCCCTGAGAACGGTAACAGGCTGCATTCAAATGACGTCTGTAGAACACCTGCATGACGAAACGAAGATGCTTTCAGTCATGGAACACAACATCATGCTGTCAAAACAATTCCTACTGGGATGTCATCGGAACCACCATCTAACGGAGTTGGTGTCGCTGCTACAACAACAACAGCATCGTTCTCTACAAAGGTGAAGTATCTCTCAAGATTCTCCGACAAGACGCTTTATTCGAAAGTATCCTGTGTCATCCTTCTTTTGGATATTATCTGTGAGGGTGAAGGATGGGTAATATCGGTCACTTTCCGTTCAGATATGAATAAACAGGACGGCATAAAAAGATACCAGTGGTTACTCCAGCTGTTTTCCTTGAGGACTCCCAGTCGGGAGTTATTAAGTGGAATGATCTTGAAAAAAGTCAATATAGGTGAGGACAGTAGATACAATTCCGGCTTGCGCTTCAAATGTTTCTCGAAAGTGTATTATCAGCCGACCTCATCAACAAAGTGCTTGAATGGACATCTTCAAGATTGATCCGAAGTTGAAGATCTGTGGCAGCTGGTGGAGGGTTGGCTTTTAAACGATTGATTGATGACAATACAGGATTTCTTAATTAGGAAAAAATTTACCAAATCATACTTTTATACTCCGTTTTCATTTTTTACATTCTGTTATAAATTACTTAATATTTTTTGCCGCCACCCTAATGAGAAAATCTTTAAAATATACAACCAAAACTTGACTGTATATGCAAATGAAAATTTGCGTCAAATTGGCGCCATAATTATTATACTCAATTGTGTTCTAAGGAAAATTAAGAAAAACATTAGGAAACAAAAAAAAAAGTCGACAAGTCGGGACAGGATCATCTCTAACATAAAACAATTTTCCAATCATAATGACACATAGTCAGACAATATGGACAAACAGCAATCATAAAGTTTAGGTTGTAAAGCACAAAAAAAAGAAAACAATTGAAAATAAACATTATTGCGTTAATGTTGACAAATTTTTGTTTTTATATTTCACTTCATGATTTGTAAATATGATGATGATGATGATGTGTTACTGATGATTAGTTGTTCATATATGTAAAATCACATCACATTTTTTTCTACTTTTGCCAAAAAAAAATTAAAATGTTTAAATAATGTGTATACTTTTTCGTCTAAATCGACGACAACAAAGTATAGAAATAGACTAGAGGAAAACCAACACAATACAAATTATGGGATTTGTAAAACAAGCTAATTTCAATAAATCTTATTATGAAGTACTTTTTATCAGACCTGTCACCAAACTATATTGTCAAAAAAATCTTTTCACAAAAAAAAAAAAAAAAATTAGTCACTTTTTCTTATAAAAATATAAACACAACCAAAAATGATCATGAAGAAAAACGATGACACCCAAGAAAATCCCTTCTTTAAAAACACTTTGTACAACATGAAATCTATTTATCACAAAATGTATTTAATTTTAAGAAAGAAATGTTTTACGAAACAAATTTTTGTGTGTTTTGTTATCATTGAATTAAGAAATACACCATTTGTGAGTGGATTTCAGAAAATTTGTTAAAGGGGAAACTTTTTTCTATTTAAAAACTTCTCCACAAAATGATAAAGATTTCGATTATTACACTCGATATCTTTAGAACTCTTACTAGTAACTAGAACTAGCCAGTAACTCTGATAAACTGTTTGAAGATTGTTATAATATCGTAAAACATCGAAGATCATTTCCTAGTAATTTTCTTAAAAATTTAATATTAAAACTTCGACTTACCTTTTAATCTCTTCTCTTTCCTTTTCCATTTTCAAAAGTATACCACGTTGTTTCTTCTTAATAGCTGCTATATGATTTACTAAACCTTTGGCTTTGTAGCGTGCCTTCTGCACTTCTAGCCAAGCAATTTGACCTTTAGTACGATCCAATAAAGCTTTCTCGCGCATTTTTAAAAGTGCTGTCAAATGTTGTGATTTATTGGTTTCGTTCTGTATTAATTTGTCGTACTGAAAAGTAGAAAAGAAAAGTTGTATTAGAAAGAAAATAAGGGCTTTATTTTAAAAAGCGATTTTTTATATATTTTTTATATAGATTTATAAGTTTTTTTAACTATTTTTATATTTTAAAGCTTCTAAAACAATTTACAGATCATAAGGTTTCTTAAAAGTTTTCAAAATTTTGAACTTATGGCCGAAAAAATGAGTATAATCGAATAAATGCGTTCCGAGTATGACTCCAGAGAAGCTTTAATGTTTCTTGCTCTTTAATGGAAAGAAAAATCGAAATATGTAGTAAAATTATGGTTCAATGTGTGCTTCCGGAGGGTTAGTAGTTAGTCAGACCGAAAGTCGTGGATTCGATTCCCATCAGATACACAGATAAACTAGCTATAAGATGTATACTATATCCAATCGTAAGAAATTAACATAGGCCTTCATCGGGCATATTGTTCGCTACTTTATCAATGTATCTAGCCTCTACCGGTCTTGGTGTGGGCTCCTTTTCATGGAAAATATTTGATGGTAAAACAATCTGGACGTAATTCTTAAGAATATTCCAATCAGTTTTAGGAAGGGATGTTAAATCCGAAATAGTTTCACTCCCAAGATTTTTGGATCTAATTTGGACGAAAGCTTAATAATGACAAAGAAAACTCCAGTGTTGCACTGTCCTCTCCACTCAACATTCACCTGAATCTAACTAACTAGTGGCCATAAACACTGATAAACTAGCGCCCAATAGGCCCGATGGAGATTAAAGTAAATTTGGTTTCGGAATTGATATTGATAGGAAGGTGTGTACTACTCAAAATCCTAAGAAATTTACCTAGGCCTTCATGGGGCCTATTGTGCGCTAGTTTATCAGTTTATCTAGCCGCTGTTGGGCCTGTTGTGGGCTCCTTTTAATGGAAAATATTTGATGGTAAATAAAACTCAGAATCCTGGATGTAATTCTTAAGAACTTTCCAATGAGGAATTTTAAATTAAATCCGAAATAATATCATTCCAAAGATATTGGATCTAATTTCGACAAAGTCTTGATAATGACAAAGAAAGCTCCAATGCTTTACTCTCCTCTCCACTCAACATTCGTGTGAATCTGACTAACTAACTAACTACTAACTAACGAACTAACTAACTAACTAACAACTAACAACTAACTAACTAACTAACTAACTAACTAACAACTAACTAACTAACTAACTAACTAACTAACTAACTAACTAACTAACGAACTAACTAACTAAACTAACTTAACTAACTAACTAACTAACTAACTACTAACTAACGACTATAACTAACTAACTAACTAACTAACTATTAACTAACTAACTAACTAACTAACTAACTAACTAACTAACTAACTAACTAACTAACTAACTACTAACTAACTAACTAACTAACTAACTAACTAACTAACTAACTAACTAACTAACTAACTAACTAACTAACTAACTAACTAACTAACTAATAACTAACTAACTAACTAACACTAACTAACTAACTAACTAACTAACTAACTAACTAACTAACTAACTAACTAACTAACTAACTAACTAACTAACTAACTAACTAACTAACTACTAACTAACTAACTAACTAACTAACTAACTAACTAACTAACTAACTACTAACTAACTAACTAACTACTAACTAACTAACTAACTACTAACTAACTAACTAACTAACTAACTAACTAACTAACTAACTAACTAACTAACTACTACTAACTAACTAACTAACTAACTAACTAACTAACTAACTAACTAACTAACTAACTAACTAACTAACTAACTACTAACTAACTAACTAACTAACTAACTAACTAACTACTACTAACTAACTAACTAACTAACTAACTAACTAACTACTAACTAACTACTAACTAACTACTAACTAACTAACTAACTAACTACTAACTAACTAACTAACTAACTAACTAACTAACTAAACTAACTAACTAACTAACTACTAACTACTAACTACTACTAACTAACTAACTAACTAACTAACTAACTAACTAACTAACTAACTAACTAACTAACTAACTAACTAACTAACTAACTAACTAACTAACTACTAACTAACTAACTAACTAACTAACTAACTAACTAACTAACTAACTAACTAACTAACTAACTAACTAACTAACTAACTAACTAACTAACTAACTAACTAACTAACTAACTAACTAACTAACTAACTAACTAACTAACTAACTAACTAACTAACTAACTAACTAACTAACTAACTAACTAACTAACTACTAACTAACTAACTACTAACACTAACTAACTAACTAACTAACTAACTAACTAACTAACTACTAACTAACTAACTAACTAACTAACTAACTAACTAACTAACTAACTAACTAACTAACTAACTAACTAACTAACTAACTAACTAACTAACTAACTAACTAACTAACTAACTAACTAACTAACTAACTAACTAACTACAACTAACTAACTAACTAACTAACTAACTAACTAACTACTAACTAACTAACTAACTAACTAACTAACTAACTAACTACTAACTAACTAACTAACTAACACTAACTAACAACTAACTAACTAACTAACTAACTAACTAACTAACTAACTAACTAACTAACTAACTAACTAACTAACTAACTAACTACTAACTAACTAACTAACTAACTAACTAACTAACTAACTAACTAACTAACTAACTAACTAACTAACTAACTAACTAAACTAACTACTAACTAACTAACTAACTAACTAACTAACTAACTAACTAACTAACTAACTACTAACTAACTAACTAACTAACTAACTACTAACTAACTACTAACTAACTAACTAACTAACGACTACTAACTACTAACTAACTAACTAACTAACTAACTACTAACTAACTACTAACTAACTAACTAACTAACTAACTAACTAACTAACTAACTAACTAACTACTAACTAACTAACTAACTAACTAACTAACTAACTACTAACTAACTACCTAACTAACTAACTAACTAACTAACTAACTAACTAACTAACTAACTAACTAACTAACTAACTAACTAACTAACTAACTAACTAACTAACTAACTAACTAACTAACTAACTACGACTAACTAACTAACTAACTAACTAACTACTAACTAACTAACTAACTAACTAACTAACTACTAACTAACTAACTAACTAACTAACTAACTAACTAACTAACTAACTAACTAACTAACTAACTACTAACTAACTAACTAACTAACTAACTACTAACTAACTAACTAACTACTAACTAACTAACTAACTAACTACTAACTAACTAACTAACTAACTAACTAACTAACTAACTAACTAACTAACTAACTAACTAACTACTAACTAACTAACTAACTACTAACTAACTAACTACTAACTACTACTAACTAACTAACTAACTACTAACTAACTAACTAACTAACTAAACTAACTAACTAACTAACTAACTAACTAACTAACTAACTAACTAACTAACTAACTACTACTAACTAACTAACTAACTAACTAACTAACTAACTACTAACTACTAACTAACTAACTAACTAACTAACTAACGAACTAACTAACTAACTAACTAACTAACTAACTAACTAACTAACTAACTAACTAACTAACTAACTAACTAACTAACTAACTAAACTACTAACTAACTAACTAACTAACTAACTAACTACTAACTAACTAACTAACTAACTAACTAACTAACTAACTAACTACTAACTACTAACTAACTAACTAACTACTAACTAACTAACTAACTAACTACTAACTAACTAACTAACTAACTAACTAACTAACTAACTAACTAATACTAACTAACTAACTAACTAACTAACTAACTCTAACTAACTTAACTAACTACTAACTAATACTAACTAACTAACTAAACTAACTAACTAACTAACTAACTAACACTAACTAACTAACTAACTATACTAACTAACTAACTAACTAACTAACTAACTAACTAACTAACTAACTAACTAACTAACTAACTAACTAATAACTAACTAAAACTAACTAACATAACTACTAACTACTAACTAACTAACTAACTACTAAACTACTAACTAACTAACTAACTACTAACTACTAACTAACTAACTAACTAACTAACTAACGTAACTAACTAACTAACTAACTACCTAACTAACTAACTAACTAACTAACTAAACTAACTAACTAACTAACTAACTAACTAACTAACTAACCACTAACTAACTATAACTAACTAACTAACTAACTAACTAACTAACTAACTAACTAACTACTAACTAACTAACTAACTAACTAACTACTAACTAACTAACTACGACTACTAACTAACAACTAACTAACTAACTAACTAACTACTAACTAACTACTAACTAACTAACTAACTAACTAACTAACTAACTACTAACTAACTAACTAACTAACTACTAACTAACTAACTAACTAACTAACTAACTAACAACTACTAACTAACTAACTAACTAACTACTAACTAACTACTAACTAACTAACTAACTAACTAACTAACTAACTAACTAACTAACTAACTAACTACTAACTAACTAACTAACTAACTAACTAACTAACTAACTAACTAACTAACTAACTAACTAACTAACTAACTACTAACTAACTAACTAACTAACTAACAACGAACTAACTAACTAACTAACTAACGAACGACTAACTAACTAACTAACTAACTAACTACTAACTAACTAACTAACCTAACTAAACTAACTAACTACGAACTAACTAACAACTAACTAACTAACTACTAACTAACTAACTAACTAACTAACTAACTAACTAACTAACTAACTAACTAACACAACTAACTAACTAACAACTAACTAAAATAACTACTAACTAACTAACTAACTAACTACTAACTAACTAACTAACTAACTAACTACTAACTAACTAACTAACTAACTAACTAACTAACTAACTAACTAACTAACTAACTAACAAACTAACTAACTAACTAACTAACTAACTAACTAACTAACTAACTAACTAACAAACTAACTAACTAACTAACTAACTAACTAACTAACTAACTAACTAACTAACTAACTAACTAACTAACTAACTAACTAACTAACTAACTAACTACTAACTAACTACTAACTACTACTAACTAACTAACTAACTACTAACTAACTAACTAACTAACTAACTAACTAACTAACTAACTAACTACTAACTAACTAACTAACTAACTAACTAACTAACTACTAACTAACTAACTAACTAACTAACTACTAACTAACTAACTAACTACTAACTAACTAACTAACTACTAACTAACTACTACTAACTAACTACAACTAACTAACTTAACTAACTAACTAACTAACTAACTAACTACTAACTAACTAACTAACTAACTAACTAACTAACTAACTACTAACTAACTAACTAACTTACTAACTAACTAACTAACTAACTAACTAACTAACTAACTAACTAACTAACTAACTCTAACTAAACTAACTAACTAACTAACTAACTACTAAACTAACTAACTAACTACTAACTAACTAACTAACTAACTAACTGACTAAACTAACTAACTAACAACTACTAACTAACTAACTAACTAACTACTAACTAACTAACTACTAACTAACTAACTAACTAACTACTAACTAACTAACTACTAACTAACTACTAACTAACTAACTACTAACTAACTAACTAACTAACTAACTACTACTAACTAACTAACTAACTAACTAACTAACTAACTAACTAACTAACTAACTAACTAACTAACTAACTAACTAACTAACTAACTAACTAACTAACTAACTAACTAACTAACTAACTAACTAACTAACTACTAACTAACTAACTAACTAACTAACTAACTAACTAACTAACTAACTAACTAACTAACTAACTAACTAACTCTAACTAAGTAACTACTAACTAACTAACTAACTAACTAACTAACTAACTAACTAACTAACTAACTACTAACTAACTAACTAACTAACTAACTAACTAACTAACACTAACTAACTAACTACTAACTAACTAACTAACTAACTAACTAACTAACTACCTAACTAACTAACTAACTAACTAACAACTAACTAACTAACTAACTAACTAACTAACTAAGTAACTAACTAACTAACTAACTACAACTAACTAACTAACTAACTAAACTAACTAACTAACTAACTAACTAACTAACTAACTAACTAACTAACTAACTAACTACTAACTAACTAACTAACTAACTAACTAACTAACTAACTAACTAACTACTAACTAACAAACTAACTAACTAACTAACTAACTAACTACTAACTAACTAACTAACTACTACAACTAACTAACTAACTAACTAACTAACTAACTAACTAACTACTAACTAACTAAGTAACTAACTAACTAACTACTAACTAACTACCTAACTAACTAACTAACTAACTAACTAACTAACTACTAACTAACTAACTAACTAACAACTAACTAACTAACTAACTAAACTAACTACTAACTAACTAACTACAACTAACTAACTAACTAACTAACTAACAACTAACAACTAACTACTAACTAACTAACTAACTAACTAACTAACTAACTAACTAACTAACTAACTAACTAACTAACTACTAACTAACAACTAACTACTAACTAACTAACTAACTAACTAACTAACTAACTAACTAACTAACTAACTAACTAACTAACTAACAACTAACTAACTAACTAACTAACTAACTAACTAACTAACTAACTACTAACTACTAAGTAACTAACTAACTAACTAACTAACTAACAACTAACTAACTAACTAACTAACTACTAACTAACTAACTAACTAACTAACTAACTATAACTAACTAACTAACTAACTAACTAACTAACTAACTAACTAACTACTAACTAACTAACTAACTAACTAAGTACTAACTTAACTAAACTAACTAACTAACTAACTAACTACTAACTAACTAACTAACTAACTACTAACTAACTAACTAACTAACTAACTAACTAATAACTAACTAACTAACTAACTAACTAACTAACTAACAACTACTAACTAACTAACTAACTAACTAACTAACTAACTAACTAACTTACCTACCAACTAACTTTTTTGTTTGTCGTCATCCTGTGTTCTTGATCGACGGTTCCTTCGCTTTAGTGGAAGACAATGCATTAAGTTCAATATATTCTTGAAAAATGAAGAGGTCTATGAGAAAGATGTACTCGAAGTACTCTATGTACTACTGGCAACATCGTCCTTTAAATGTAGATGACGGTTTGGAGTGATAAGAGCAACACCTAATCCCAACAGAGATAAAGTAAAGGGGATGTTGAATTAGGTGGGCAACAACATACACCAGCTATCGACCACCCAAAACAAGACTATCTGCGGTGCGTGTAGGATATGTTCGGGAATATTATATTGCGTCAAGCCTAAAGCAGTCCGAAGGGTGAATTAGACTCTTCTTTAAGCTCTTCTAAGGCAAATCGAATCCGATCTTTCGACCAGTTAAGAAAAACAGAAACTCCATAAAAAAATGCTAAGGCTATATATCCTGAATCCTACAATTAAGAAAGCAAAGCCAAGTCAGCTATTGAGAAGACGAACACGTCTGCCAAATCAAACCCTAAGGGTGTAAGGTTGTTTGAAAAGGAGTTAAAAGAAGTGTCAATACGGAAGAGGAAGTCAGACGCTGAAAGGGGAAAAGGAATGACACACTCATGTCAAAGTTGCGAAGAAAAAAATTTAGGATAATCTACATATGCCATGCAGTATATGATGTTGGTAACCCGATAGTAAAAAATACCAGAAAATTTTCGAAAATAAATTCGATTTTTTGGTTAAAAAGTAAGATTAGCAGATTTTTAACGATATAATTAAAAAATAATAAAATTTATTCAAATATTCACAACTTACCAAACCGACATTCGAATAATTTAACGAAGACTCCGACATACTATCATTCGCAATTGAATGGCGCTGAGCTCCTCTTTCACAATCGTATTGATTGAAGAATTTAACAATTTCACTGCCAATCGAAATACGTCTTTTACTCTTCGAGGGTGACGCTTGCGTAAGAGGCTGTTTAGCAGCTGAAACTGTTGTCACTGCATTATAACTAGGAGGATTTGAGTTATGATTAATATGCCTTGAAGCTACACTACTGGTTATTTCATCATCAGCACTTTGAGCAAATTCTGTGGAACTAATTTGTGAAGCTGCATCAATGGCCTGTTGAAATTGAGTTTCATTAAATAGAGCTTCTTTGCTGAGATTTTCTTGGAAATCTCCTCGTGAACGATTAATGTGGAATTTAATAAATTGTTTGGAATCAATTTTAGTTCGAGAAGTTTTGGGTATATTTTCGTTGTCATGTGAAGCTGATTCATAAGTATTTTGTAAGTCTCAGCTATGCTGGAGCTTATGGTAGTGACTTCGGGTTTGTTTGCTTTTGTAAGGGATTTAGATCTGGAGGTTTCTCTTTCAGTTTGTGTGCCACTATATGATTCGGTTGCGCTTTCATTTGTTTTATTTTTATGGTGGTGTTTGTTTTCAGAAGATTTGGATTGTGTATGTCTATGGCTGGAAACATTATTCCTACTGCTTATGCTATTGAAAGTGGAATAATCTGATTTTTCTTTAGCTTTTTCTTCCTCTTTAAAAGTTGTTTGTTTTGAACTTGACTGCAAGAGTTCATTGGCACTCATAACCCGCTGAGAGTGGTTACTCTCTTTTCCTGTTAGTTCCTGTTATGATTTGTTTGAGATTGGGAAGCATTTTCAGAATCTGATGTTTCCATTTCTTCACTATTCGTTTCATTTAAAGAACTTCTGTATTGTTTTTGATATTTTTCAAATAATTTATATTTTTCATGAGAAAATTCGGACATTTCCGTGTAGCTGGAAGAACGTTTTGTTGGATTTTTATTTTCATGACTTTGTGTCTCAATTTCACTAAGAATTTCGGAAGAATCAATGTCATCTCTGTTTGCTACTTTTACAAGTTTATTCTGCAAAGTTTCGGTTACTGATTCTTTTGGTTTTTGTCTGTCCAGGCTTGATTTCTGGCATCGTTCCTTTTCCTTGCGCTTTTCTTTCGACTCCATTATAGTTTGTTTTAAGGTTTCCTTAAGTTTTCTATTTCAGTTAAACGCTTTTCATAAGATTGTGCTGCCATTGAGCTGGAACTTTGCTCTTCTTCATCTTCTATCTCTGTTGTGATGCTTTAACTTCATCATCTGTTGTTTGTGCGGAATTTGTTAAAGATTTTAAGTTCAGATTTAAATTCAATTCCGGTAAAGGTTGTTCGGATTGTGCTGCTTTTTGAGGCGTTAAAAGCGGCTTAACTTTTTCCGCCATTTCGAAGAGTTGACGTTTTCTCTGCTTTAAATTATCATTACTTTTCTGTAAAGTTTCTTTAAGTTTTTCACTTTCTCTGGATGATTGCAGCTTTGTGGTAGATTTTTCAAAATCTGAGGAATACATTTTATCTGTATCACTAGATTTTTTCGATGAATGAGGACTTAAAATTTGCTGAGACTTATCGAGGGTGCATTTCAATTGTTCATTAACTTGTATGACTTGCGATAGACTGCGATTGAAATCCTCTAATAATTGATTAAAGTCCATTTCTCGGTCTTCACTTTCCGTCTCTTTAAAAGTGTCCTTTCGTTTAATTTTCAGTTTATCTACCTTATCCAAGGAAAGAGGACTTACTGGTCGAGGTTTAACAAATTCAAAATCTGTTGCTGTTTCTTTTATTACAGATTTCTTTTCCGGACTACTAAAGATTTGTGAAGATATAGAGGTGACCTCATCTTCGGATTGTATTAACTGCTGTTTATGGGAATGTTTGTTCCAGGTCCTTCTAGATTCTGTTCTTAAGGAGGAGACCTCGGTTAAAGTGTTTGATATGGGAAGTTGTAGGGAAATAGAGGATAAATTGGAATTAATTTCAGAATTTAAACTTTCCATAGATTTATAATTTGTAGGCAATTTAAATGGTTGGGAATTTGTTTAGAATCTTCCTGGTCTGCACCTAAGGATTGTTGTAAAGGCTTAAACGCTGGAATATCTAAAGTTTTTCCATAAGATTTTGCTTTACTAGAATGTTTAATATCTTGTAAATCCATAGATTGTATAGACTTTTGCAAATATTTGAATTGTGTGTAAGGTTTTCCTAATTCTTCATCAGAAGAATTTAGGCTTTCTTTAGGGACTTCAGCATTTCTTTCCTCTTTTTCACTTTCCTTTATTTGTATAGCTTGTGGCGTGGGATTTAGTTGTTTAAGTTTGCTTTCCTTTATAACATTTAATTCCTTTAGACTTTTTTCTATAATGCTTCCTTGGGCCTCCTTGAGTTCCTGCTGTTCCTTTCTTTTACGTCGTTTACTTTCTTTTTCTTCCCTTAACTCTAAAGACTTTCTCTTTTTCTCTTTTATTTTACTATTCAATCCTGTTGTAGAAGTTTCTTGGTTCTGTTTGCCCTTATCTTCCGGTTTGTTTGCGGCTATAGGTTGGGCTATTGCCTCCAATTTCCGACGAACTGCCATGATAAAGTTATAAGGATAAACTTGTGCTGCAGATGGCCTCAGCCAGTAAGGTAGTTCATGTGGTTTAGCGGCCTCACTTTGTATACTTTCGGTTACTTTAAAGGGTTCTTCTATTTTGCTGGTTTTTAAAGTTTTACGCGGAACTTCTAAATCAGAAATTTCTTCATCTTTTGCTTCACCCATTGGCTCATTCGGAACTTGTTTATTTTCTTCCGCCTGTATTTCTTTACTTTGTGTAGTATTGTTGTTTTTTTGTTTTATTATCCTTGGGATTGTTCAACTGTTTCGTGAGCATTTCTATATTGTGATTTTCTTTATCGAAATTAAAATTCTTATGGCTGTTGAAAGAGAAATCTTTATCATTTTCCGCTTTTCTTAAAAGACCTATACGTTTGTGATTCTCTAGTAAAGGAAAGGCCGAGGGTTTCAAGACATTATTCAAACTTTGTGCAGATCTTTGGGAACATTCCGTTACTTTAGTTTCCTTAGTACGCTCTGTTTTGCTGTTCTTGTCGGTTAAATTATTCTCTAAATTAAGACCTTTTAATTCATTCTCCACATCCTTGTTAACTTTTGTTGTTACCATGTCCTCCTGTATAGAAGGTTTTGTTTGAACTTTACTCTCTAAAGGTTTTTTACTGATATTTTGTGTCATAATTTTCTCTTTCTTTTGTATATTTTTGGACACTAGTTTACGTGTGTTTTTCTTGAGCTCTTCCAGTCTTTTTTTAATTTCTTCCTTTTCTATTTTAGATTTGATGGCGGGATCATTAATTAAACCCACTTTGCGTTGCTTTTTTTGCATTTCCATGTAACGGCGAGCCTCCTCTGGATTATAACTTATTATCTTATTTACTGGTGTTTCCTTGGCACTTATGGGCATTTGTAAGGATTTAGATCTGGGTTTACTTGCAACAACGGCAGTACTAGGTCTAGCTGTATCTTTACGTGCCACACGGTTACTTTTAGTATCTTGTATGGGAACAGTATTAGTATTTAGTTGTAATTCAGTTTTACTACGACGAAATGAAGATATTTTTTCCTCTTCCTGCTGCTCAGAGTCTTTCCCTTGCTCATCTTCTTTTTCACTTGATTGTCTTATTTCTGGTGTCTTCTTAGGAGAATTTTGTGTTGAAGGAACACTGCTCTTTTCGGGTGATTTAATTTTATTTAACATTTCTTGTATTTCCATTATTTCTTGATCGCGTTCTTGTTTTTTCTTAGCAAAATCTTCTAATAATTGTGAAGAACGCGAAGATTCCATGACATTTAAACTTAAACCACTCTCACTTTGACCCCTTTCAGATTTAGAATCTTTTGTCAACGACTTTTCTTTATTATAACTTTGGGAGTCACTTCTTCCATAGGAAATTCTGGCTATATGAGTTTTAACAGCTAAAGGAATTACAAAATACTCTCTTGATAAAAAATTCTTTATATTTTTTCTTTCTTTTTCAAGATCTTTTCTTCTTACCTGGTTTTAGCGGTTTTCCTGAAACCTTTTTCGTATTTGAAATAACTTGTTTGGTGGTTGTTGTACAAGCGCTGCTGTTGTTGTTACATTCCTAAACTCTTCTTCTGCTTGTTGAGCACAATCCATTGATATTGTTTTTGTATTAGCTGTTTGCATTGCCGTAGTTGTTGTTCCTGTATTTTTCGTATAGTTGTTTGGCGTCTCTTTCAACCATTCCATACAATTTTCATCTTTATTCATAACTTTTTTTCGTTTCTTTATCACAATTTTTATTGTATTTCAATTATTTTATATTTTTTCTTAGAGAAATTACTAAAATTTTCATTAAATATCAGTTTTAAATAAATTACAACTTCTTTTTTAAGCTCCAATAGAACGCAGCAGAAAAACAAATTTTGAAACGTCAACAGCGTGCGAGAGAATTTTGTTGTTTGTTTACAACAGGGTTGTAGTAAAAAAGTACTAATAAACAGCGATAGACAGAGTTGGAATATGATATTGTTTAAACGTTTGCTATCAGCTGATACGTTTTTTTTAAACAAAAGCTTTGGCACAGTGGGTTTAATGATTAATGTAATGGGATTTGATAGCGTGACAGTCAGAATTAGGGCTCCATAAATCGTCTTTAAAATAATCGAAGAATCGCTTTTTGTCGGTTGAAGTTGAAGTAGACTTTTTGTTCTAACAATATCGAAAAGTCGAGTAAGAAAAAGTCGAAGAATAGATTTTGCAAATAAAAGTCGAAAAGTTGAAAATAAGTCGATGAAGTCGATTAAGGAAGGAAAAGTCTAAAATAGTCTGATAAAGTCAAAAAAGTCGAAAAGTCTAAAGTCGTCAAAATTGGAAAGTTCATATAACAGAAAATTTCCAAAAATCGACTTTTAATAAAACGAAAAATATTGAAAAATCGACTTTTTCTAAATCGCAAAAAGTCTAAAATCAACTTTTCATAAAAGTCGGGAAAAGCCGAAAAGATGAAAAATGTTCAATTGAATGGTCGAACAAGATTGAAAAGAATCGTAAAAGGTCAAAAGTCGCAATATGTCAAAAGTCAAAATAAAAAAAAAAAAAAAAAATAAAAATCGAAAAGTCGACTTAGTGACTCATTAGGGTTCTATAAATCGACTTTCGAATAATCGAACAATCGACTTTTTGTCGAAAAAAGTCGAAAAGTCGAAGTCGAATATTTTGTTCCAAAAAAGTCGATAACTCGACTATCGACTGTGAAAAAAGTCGAAAAGTCGACTTTGTGAATAAAAGTCGAAAAAAGCCGAAAAGTCGTAAAAAGTCAAAAAGTCGTAAAAAGTCGAAAAGTCGAAAAAATCGAAAAGTCGGAAAAAGTCGAAAAGTCGAAAAATCGAAAATTGTAGAAACAAGTCAAAAATAGTCAAAAATTTTATAAAAGTGGAAAAAAAGTCAAAAACTCTAAAATAGTCGGAAAAACTCGAAAAAAGTCAAAAAATAGTCGGAAAAAAATAGAAAGAAGTCGAAAATAGTCAAAAAGTCGAAAAAATCGAAAAGTCGGAAAACGTCGAAAAAAGTCGAAAAGTCGAAAAGTCGAAAAGACTTTTCGTTTCAACTATAGAACCCTAGTACTCATCGCATGATCTTTATACATATGTATACCAAACCGTAATTTTTAAAATTTTCCGAAAAATCCTTTAATAGAAAAAAGTTCGAAAAGTTATAAAACACAATAGTAGGGTTCTATAGTTGAAACGAAAAGTCGACTTTTCGACTTTTTTCATTTAATTAAAAGTGGACTTTTCGACTTTTGCATTTTATGAAAAGTCGATTTTTCGACTTTTTTCATTTAATTAAAAGTCGACTTTTAGACTTTTCGACTGTATTTTAATAATAGTTGACTTTCGACTTTTTTCGACCTTTTGACTATTTTCGACTTCTTTCGACTTTTTTTCGACTATTTTTTTACTTTTTTCGAGTTTTTCCGACTATTTTAGAGTTTTTGACTTTTTTCCACTTTTTTAAAATTTTCGACAATTTTTGACCTTTTTCTACAATTTTCGAGTTTTCGACTTTTTCCGAATTTTCGACTTTTTACGACTTTTATCGACTTTCTTCGACGTTTTTTCGACTTTTTTCGACTTTCAGACTTTTCGACATTTATTAACAAAGTCGACTTTTCGACTTTTTTCACAGACGATAGTCGAGTTATCGACTTTTTTGGAACAAAATAGTCGACTTTGACTTTTCGACTCTTTTCGACAAAAGTCGATTGTTCGATTATTCGAAAGTCGATTTATAGAACCCTACACAATAGTCGAAAAGTCGACTTTCCATTTCCACTTTTTATAAAGCACAAAAAGTTAAAAAGTCAACTATTCATAAATCGCAGATAGACAAAAAGTTGACTTTTCATAAATCGCAAAAAAAAAGAAAAGTCGACTTTTCAAAAATACAAAAAATCTACTATATGTTTCAACTAAAGAACCTTAATTCTGAGTAGGGGTGAAATTATCAATTGCACGATCTTTATCTTTACTAAACCATAACATTTTTGAATTTTCCGAAAAATTATTAAAAATTTTTATTTTGATAACGAACAAAAATTACTCTTTCCATCCCTGGTATGTATTTTATAAATATTTTATACAAATGTATATTTCTTGATTATTTTAAAATAACTACCAAAAAATAAAGAAACAAATAAACAAATAAAATGTTTTTGGAAATCTTTTTCCGTTATTTTGTGTTCTTATACATATCGCCACTACTGTCATCACTACTCAAAACTAAATACTGCCAAAATAATACAACTCTGTTAGTAACAATAACAACTTTGCCTTTTTTAGTTTTTGTGCGCGCCTTTTCCGTTTTATATGTCGTTCTAGTGAAAATTTTATAAAATTATTAAATTTCCGGTTTGTAATAGAATATTTGTGATTATAATTGATGAAAAATATTGTAAAAGATGTACTTCGTACAAGTGTTGTGAAATAATAGTGAAAATTGAAGAAATAAAAGAAAATTTTAATTTACTTAAAAAAGAAGCAAAAGCTTTTGGTAGCATTTACCAGCGGAGCTGCAATCTTAACAAGCAAAAAGCCAAGTAAGTCAAATATGTAAAATATTAGAGAATACATAGTTAACTGATTGTCTAACAACACACAGCGGGATGGTGGGAATTAAAACATTACAATAAACCATCTAGTCTTTATTAAATGTTCTGATTTACAATGTAGGAGTATTTGGGTTTATGTTTTCAAGATGAATATTTTGATGCTGAAGTGGTTGGCACTTTACTACTAATAAATTATTTGCTTTCTGTCGTAATTCAGTTGGGGAACAACTCTCGCGTCATCGCCATTATTTCTTAAGGATGATCAATGATTTTAAGGATGATGTTTCTTAGTTATGCGTGTTGTTTGCGTTCTTTCGTTTACTTATCTCGTTTTGAGGTTATGTTTAATTAAATTGGTGGCGACCAAATACTACTCCAACTTCCTATAGAAAGGTGTAGGTCGATTTTTTAGGACTCTTTTCGAACCAACGTGGGATATTTGGAATTTCTACTAGAACTGAACTAGCACTTACCTAGAACTGAACTAGAACTGAACTAGAAATGAACTAGAAAAAACTGAACTAGAACTGAACTAGAACTGAACTAGAACTGAACTAGAACTGAACTAGAACTAACTGAACTAGAACTGACTAGAAATGACTAGAAACTGAACTAGAACTGAACTAGACACTGAACTAGAACTGACTAGAACTGAACTAGAACTGAACTAGAACTGAACTAGAACTGAACTGAACTAGAACTGAACTAGAACTGAACTAGAACTGAACTAGAACTGAACTAGAACTGAACTAGAACTGAACTAGAACTGAACTAGAACTGAACTAGAACTGAACTAGAACTGAACTAGAACTGAACTAGAACTGAACTAGAACTGAACTAGAACTGAACTAGAACTGAACTAGAACTGAACTAGAACTGAACTAGAACTGAACTAGAACTGAACTAGAACTGAACTAGAACTGAACTAGAACTGAACTAGAACTGAACTAGAACTGAACTAGAACTGAACTAGAACTGAACTAGAACTGAACTAGAACTGAACTAGAACTGAACTAGAACTGAAACTAGAACTGAACTAGAACTGAACTAGAACAGAACAGAACTGAACTTAACTAGAACTGAACTAGAACTGAACTAGAACTGAACTAGAACTGAACTAGAACTGAACTAGAACTGAACTAGAACTGAACTAGAACTGAACTAGAACTGAACTAGAACTGAACTAGAACTGAACTAGAACTGAACTAGAACTGAACTAGAACTGAACTAGAACTGAACTAGAACTGAACTAGAACTGAACTAGAACTGAACTAGAACTGAACTAGAACTGAACTAGAACTGAACTAGAACTGAACTAGAACTGAACTAGAACTGAACTAGAACTGAACTAGAACTAAACTAGAACTGAACTAGAACTGAACTAGAACTGAACTAGAACTGAACTAGAACTGAACTAGAACTGAACTAGAACTGAACTAGAACTGAACTAGAACTGAACTAGAACTGAACTAGAACTGAACTAGAACTGAACTAGAACTGAACTAGAACTGAACTAGAACTGAACTAGAACTGAACTAGAACTGAACTAGAACTGAACTAGAACTGATCTAGAACTGAACTAGAACTGAACTAGAACTGAACTAGAACTGAACTAGAACTGAACTAGAACTGTACTAGAACTGAACTAGAACTGAACTAGAACTGAACTAGAACTGAACTAGAACTGAACTAGAACTGAACTAGAACTGAACTAGAACTGAACTAGAACTGAACTAGAACTAGAACTGAACTAGAACTGAACTAGAACTGAACTAGAACTGAACTAGAACTGAACTAGAACTGAACTAGAACTGAACTAGAATTGAACAAGAACTGAACTAGAACTGAACTAGAACTGAACTAGAACTGAACTAGAACTGAACTAGAACTGAACTAGAACTGAACTAGAACTGAACTAGAACTGAACTAGAACTGAACTAGAACTGAACTAGAACTGAACTAGAACTGAACTAGAACTGAACTAGAACTGAACTAGAACTGAACTAGAACTGAACTAGAACTGAACTAGAACTGAACTAGAACTGAACTAGAACAGAACTAGAACTTAACTAGAACTGAACTAGAACTGAACTAGAACTGAACTAGAACTGAACTAGAACTGAACTAGAACTGAACTAGAACTGAACTAGAACTGAACTAGAACTGAACTAGAACTGAACTAGAACTGAACTAGAACTGAACTAGAACTGAACTAGAACTGAACTAGAACTGAACTAGAACTGAACTAGAAACTGAACTAGAACTGAACTAGAACTGAACTAGAACTGAACTAGAACTGAACTAGAACTGAACTAGAACTTGAACTAGAACTGACTAGAACTAGAACTGACTAGAACTGAAACTAGAACTGAACTAGAACGAACTAACTAAACTAGAACTGAACTAGAACTGAAACTAGAACTGAACTAGAACTGAACTAGAACTGAACTAGAACTGACTAGAACTGAACGAGACTGAACTAGAACTGAACTAGAACTGAACTAGAACGGACTAGAACTGAACTAGAACTGAACTAGAACTGACTACTAGAACTGAACTAGAACTGAACTAGAACTGACTAGAACCTGAACTAGAACTGAACTAGAACTGAACTAGACTGAACTAGAACTGACTAGAACTGACTAGAACTGAACTAGAACTGAACTAGAACTGAACTAGAACTGAACTAGAACTGAACTAAACTGAACTAGAACTGAACTAGAACTGAACTAGAACTGAACTAGAATTGAACAAGAACTGAACTAGAACTGAACTATAAACCTCTGTAAACAACATACCCCTCAGTTGTTTTCAAGCATTATTGTCTTGTTATCCTAATTTATTATTTATTTATGCCGTATAACTTCCAATAAATGTACGACACATGGGACAAAAATGTTCTGCATTACGACATGACTTTAAAATATGTGGTAAACAGCAACAACTAGAAAAATTAAAATAATATTTGATTTCTTTTGAATATTATTTTGTTTAGATTGATAAATTTACCACAATCCACAGAGCAAGAGAGCTAATACATGAGTTTTAGTTGAGGCAGCATAATTCAGTTTAGTTCGAATGGTTGCATGACAACTAGGACAGGTTGTGTTTAAAGGATATGGACCTATAGCTGTAGACATTATTATTTAAATGAAATTTATATGTAGAACTGTCAGGAAACGCACGAAAGTCTTCTCTTATAGATTTATAAACACTCAATGTAGAAGATTAAATTTAACAGCAGTTTAAATAGCAATTCTTCCTAGCTAAAGGTACTAAAAATATAAATGAGTCCATAAATGAAATTATATAATATACATAGGTCTTTTGTGGTGGCGTATAAAGTGTGTTCTTAAATATAGAAATCTAAAAAGGGTATTATTGACTAACTTGATATATAATTTAGTGATTTTTAAAAAGTAAGAAGCACCTATTGATAGGTCAATATTTTTAAAATATGATTTATAATATACTGGGGATAAGTAAGGTGGATCTAGTCACTGATTCACCTCAATAACAACTTTTGGTGATTAACATTTCCTTCAATTTTAACCATAATAATAATAAATTATAAAAAAACGATGGGGGCATATAAAACATCTAATGAATAACTTCTGATATCTTACATCAGAAGCGGATCATATTTTTGATGCAAGCATTTAAGCATAATTCCCATTCTCTAAAGATGATGTAGTTTTTCTTCGATCTTTTAAAGATCGCGCATGCTTGCGGCTCTTTTTACCAAAGTCGGTTACAGAGTACATGATCAAGGCATACCAGATTCAGAAAATATCGGAAAGTGTGAGACATTGGTCAAGTATAACATGTGAACAAACCCATGCACGAATCTGTTGTTATACGGATGACACTAAACTGGGCGAATAAAACGGGTGTGGGGATCAGCATTGAAAATTCGGAAACCTTCCTATTCACAACAAGTCTGTGCTATAACGGAATGTGTAAAATGTATTAAAAATATGGCGCCATTAGCGGTTACATATTATTCGACAGCTAGAAGGAAATTATTGCGATATAAGCTGATAAATTTAAATCTAGACTTTGAGAGATCCATAATCGAATACTCTTCCAGTGGTGCCCGGTCACTCGGAATTAATTGGCAATGAAAGGGCGAAAGTACTTGATAAAAAGGACGTGGAGGATGAGGAAGTTAACATTCGGCTCAACGAGAGCTGAATTTAAAATATGGGTTAAAGTATCTCTTATGGCCTCTTGTAATAATGGATCGTTTGGGTCAGCCCATAGGGGAAGGACAAGAAGCTTCCTTAGAATGAGTAAGTCAGTGGTTAGTATGAGGGTACCTATTCTTAGTGGACCTACAAGTTTACTGACATCTTATGGCCTCTTGGAATAATGGATCGTTTGGGTCAGCCCATAGGGGAAGGACAAGAAGCTTCCTTAGAATGAATAAGTCAGAGGTTAGTATGAGGGTACCTATTCTTAGTGGACCTACAAGTTTACTGACATAACTTCTGAACACTTAACTTAACTGAACTGAAAACGTTCTCTTTCATTACCGGTTTTCGTCAGAATTATAAATATGTTGAGATCAATTTTATTCCATATATCACATCCCTCAGAACCTCTAATTAAAAAATTCTTAGGAACTACGTCCTCTGAACTTTGTACGAAAATTATTTTCATAGGTATAACAGGTTTTCTACATAAGGATTTACCATTAACAACCCGATGGTGGCCTAGGTACATTTTTTACGGATCTGATGTTTTATACATCCTCCTTTCAAGTTAACCTAAGCAGTCTATAACCAGACAGCAGACTGGTTCATAGACTACTCAGTAGTCCACTAGTCCATAGAATAGAAAATACACTTTTTCACTATACCAATTAACTAGTCCATAGACTAGTGAGTGGAATAGTTCATAGACATGTCTACAGATTAGACGATATTAGGGTTGTATATGTTCCCTGTGAAAATGATCCTGATTGAATGAAAATCTAGAAAATAAACTTTTCGGTAACATTTTATTTCACATAATGGGTCTTGATTGAATAAAACATTTATTAAAGTAAACATTTTGGTACTTTTTCGTTCTTTAAAAGGTACTTTTTGAACATACACAGGCCTGTCTAAATGAATATTTATATGAAGGGACTTGATGGAATGAGAATCTATTAAAGTAAACATTTTGGTAATTTTTCAATCTTTAAATGGTACTTTTTGAACACACATAGACCGGACTGAATGAAAACAGAGTTATTGTGGTAATTTAAGGTACTTTCTTCTAATAGGACTTTTGAGATATTCTTTGAAAGTTTTCCCAATTTATCCGTTAATACTTGTTCTGTAGAATTTTGTTGAGGTTTTTCTTTAGAATATTTCTAATCTTTTCTATAAGAATGTAGAACCTTTTATTTTAAATTTCGCGAATATCGGTTCATAATTAACTCATGCCCCTATTCCTTAAAAAATCAATATTTAAAAATTTTATATTTTATTAGATATGCATATGTGGGTTATAATAAAATATATATGTATGTAATTGATTAATATATAAGTATGTATATCATAGGATAATCCATTATCCAGGGTTGAGATATAAAAAATTAAGACAAATAAGTGCCAACGAATGCATGACAGTTGGGACAAGTATGATTGACGTTGCGACAAAAATCAATAAAATAAGGCAAACAGCAGCAACTGAAGTTGTTAAATAGAACAAGAAACATAAAGCTGACATTGAAACAATTTAAAAATGTTGTAAACTTACCAAATCGAACATAGTAATAATCCAAGAATATGAGTAGCGGTAGAAGGACGATGTTCTACAAGAGTTTTAATGTTAGAACGACAACTAGGACATATCATATTCGTAGACAATGGACCAACTGGTTGATAACTTATGATTGTTTGTTCCTTTGGCACAATTTGAGCTGGCGGCGCAGAAGGTGCTGAGGCCATGGATTGTGAATGTCCATTGTACATTGAGGCCTCCTTATAAACTGGAAACTTGTTGGTTATTTCATGTTGTTCAATATTTTGGGCTTCAAAAGATGCATTTGTCATCGATTGTAAATGTTTATTGTACATTAGTGGTCCATTTTGGACTGTAGTCATTTTTAATTGATGCTGTTCAATATCTTGTAGATTATTTTCTACAGCCTGGTAGGGATTTTGAGAATACATTTCGAAGGGAACTTTAAGTTGTTAAACTTTTAGTCAAGACAAATAATTGTTTACTAAAAGAAAATCATCAAATTTAGAGAAAAGTAACTTGCAATTCTAAAAAAATGTAAGTGTTGTCAACCCTTTTAAGTATTTATAAGGAAAACGCTTAATTTATATGGATGCATGGATGTTGATACTGTGTTCTTAGGTATTTTTGATTTTTAAAATAAAACAATTAAATGTTAATAAAAAAATTTATTATATATTGCAACATTATTAAAATATTGCGTTTCTAAGGCGTCTTATTGTATTTAAATACAATTAACATCACTGTTCACAGGAAATGTTGGTTTTGCATTAGATTAAGTTTTGTTTTAAAAACTGCATGACTTTGTTGATATTTGCAAACACATAATGTTATAAACACAAATTTTGCACGATTGTTTTCAAATCGAAAACCATATCAGCAAGTAAAGTCTTGAGCATTTGTCAAATACTCACCTAGATTTTCTCTGATATTTTTCAAGATAATTTCTTATAGAGTGTACATCTTATCCCAATACAAACAGGATGTTTGAGGTACATAGGAGTTGAGCAGATTGTCCCATGTTTTGACTTTCACTGGGGATACACTAGAGTCCATTATATTGTTAAAGATTTGAATATGGTTGAGAAAATCAAAGTTTTCGGCTAGGTGAGGTTTACGTTAAGAAGGATTGCAACTCCACTTGGAGACCATAAGGTCTATTGTGATTCCCTTCATAGAAAATGAAGATCCAAATATAGAGAAACAAAACATTAGAAAAAAAAAACAAGAAAAAAATAGATACAGAGAAGAGATGAATGGAAACGGTCGATTCCCAAGGGGTTTCAACCCAGAAGATTTACCGAGTCGATTCCCTAAAGAAACATAGTAGGGAAATCTGACTCTTCCCTCAAAACCCAGTCGAAGAAATTACTAATCTCTCCCCTCAAAAGCCAGTCGAAGAAATCACTAATTCCTCTGATAAAACCTAGTAGACTGCGAGGGTTAAGTCTCACTATTTTCCAGCCATTTCAACCTGAGATTTTGTATTCTAGGACAGTGGCAAATTATACGCTCGATCGTCTCTAGATCCTCTGCATTTTCGCATAACCTGTAAAAGTCCGGTATATGACTTGCGGACAAAGGCTCTAATTGAGCAATCTCCTACCAGAATCTTAAGAATGCGTATATACAGTCCAAAAGCATCTTGGTAGTCCTTACATCAAGTGTTGGCAATATTACAAGACTGGTTGATGATGTCACGGATTCTCTAGAATATCAACTTATAATAGTGACAGTGTATTAAGGTTCAAATATAATCCATCTAGTTCGTCCGCATCCTCATTACCAACACCGTCCAATGTTAAACAACCTTTATAATGTCCCTAAGGGCATTAAAACAATCTACAACCACGCGCGAATGTACCATATGACATGTCAATGCTCAAAGAGCAGCTTGGCTATCGACATAAATTGTCTCAAGCGACCCTAGATCGATAAGATTCCATATCAGTTCCGGTATTCATCTTGGACCAGTCGATGAAAACTGGACAACCATCAGATAATCTATCGGATACAAGTCAATAGTCCCTAGTTTCAAATTCCATCAGAGGTCTAAAGTTGTAATATCTTAATCTGTAATTCCTCCAATGGACTTACCATGATCAAGTCCACTATGTACAGAATTTTTGTAAGATTGTCGTGTAAAGGTTTGACTAAAAAGTCGTAGAAAAACTGCTCAAACCGCATACCCAGTTCTGCAGAGATGTGTTACCCCGAGAGAGCGTTTTACGTCGATAGAAACAAATAGTAAACGGGCGGGGCAAGGTCTTGACTATAAGGTGGGGGGACAAAACTTCAAAAATGCTTCTTCCTAATTTTTGTATGATTGTCGCATGAAGACTCAAAGAGTCTTAGAAAAACTGCTCAAACCGCATACCCTATTCTGCAGATATGTGTAACCCAGAGAGAGCGTTTTACGTCGATAGGAACAAATAGTAAACGGGCGCAGGAAGGTCTGGACTATAAGGTGGGGGGACAAAACTTCAAAAATGCTTATTCCTAAATAGTTTTTACAGATGGACGAGTACTGTCATGCTGGAATATAACGCTTTCATATTTTGCTGCATATTTTGAGTGATTTTTGTCTAATTCACAATACCAACGAATCAGTTGCATTCGGTGCAGGTTCCTTGTGATGGTCTGGCCAAATTTCAGCAGCTCATCATAGTGCCATGGATATTTGGCTTTGGCATCGATTCGGTTATAAATAAAAATGTTGCTTGTGCAATGTTAATATTTAAATGATACTCTTCGACCTTGAAGAGAAAATTAAAAATTTATTAAAAACAAATTAAATATAAAATTACGTCAGTTTTAAATTAATTTTAATGTACTTAATCCACACTTTTTTCTTATCTTTGAAAGAAACCTAAAATTGTTTACAAACATTAAACATTTTTAAAAATATGCACTTATTTCTTTTCATATCCTATACAGCTAAGTTTGACAGGATTTTCGGTGTTTATGTTGATATTTATAATGTATAAAAATATTGGTCCTATATCACCCATCAATTGCAATATAAACCTTATATACCCCTTCTTGCTCATCTTCCTTGGTTCAATTTCTTTCAGCTTTTTAAAACGATAATATGATAATGCAAAGCTTTGGCAGAGAATGTGAAAAGTTTCCTACCAGAGTTTAACCGATTTGATCTTAAATTCATATTATGAAATGTAGTTTTCCTTTTCATATCTGTTCTGACTCATGCTAGTTTATACGCACCCAGTACTGACTGATTCAATACGTGTTGTTTCTGCATCTATGTAGATCGTGGTATCGCAAGTAAAATTTGGTCTCATAGATATAAGTCTAGCCGATTCAAACACTGCATCTGATACATAATTATTTACAGAAAATACTAATTTTCTTTCTTTGCACTATACGTGCAATATCATTGTACTGATTCTGTTATATATGGCCTCAGTGTAAGTGGTTCCTTGTGTCCAACTATTCTATTTTTTCCCTCAATAAATGCATTTTTCGTTACGGGCCACTAGACAATACATCCATGTTCCAGTATTTGTTTAACTATAGCTTTGTATATCCTGGAAGTTTTTCCTGTCTATTTAATTTTATAGTCAATGGATAATGCCAGAGTTATTACGCCCATTTTTGGGCAGTTCAATATAGACACTCTTTCGTTAAGATACGTTATCCATTTTAGTTTATAGTGAATGTATGTTGACCATTCTTCCGCCAATATTTGGGACAGTTGTAAATAGATATTATTTTCTTTGTAAAACGCAACATCTCTCTTTTCTGAGGATTAATAGGTAATAAAATTTCAGAATATAATATTTCGTTATATATACAACAATAACAATATAATAATATACACAAATACTTTTTACCTTGAACTTAAAGTAGAATTACAAACTTTAAAAAATTTTGCATATGCCAAAATTTTGCTTATCTTAAAAAAACAAATATATATTTTAGACATATGTAGTTATGTGTATTAGTTGTTTCTAAAACATACTCAGGATTACAAAATAAATTTTTGGAATAATGATAAGAGTAATAAACATGTATGTACTCGTATATGCAGGGTCTATATTCAAAACTCACTATCTACAAAACACAAATTTTTAAGGGAGTAACAAAAAACGTTGATTCGTCAGCATTTTTAAACTATATGAAAGACTTTAATTAGCATGACACATATTTTGTAGTACATATTAAGTTCTAATTTTGAGTTCAGCTTGAAGTAAATTAGCTACATGTATGTACATATATTAGGTGCGGTTCAGAAGTGATGATTTTTAACACGGAAGACAAATATCAACCAAAAGTTTCTTATCTGTTATGAAATCTGGCCATGTCATAACTGGGAAACTGTACCAAATACAACTGATCCGTTTGCAGCGAACATTGGTCGAAAAATGTGTGGCCTGATATGAAAGCGTAATATTCCATTATTACAGCTCTCAGCAACATTTTGTAATGCTAAAAACCATTTAGAAAGAAGTGGTTGACATGTTTTGCCTCACCCACCTTATAGTTCAGACTTTGCCCTGTCCGACTACTGTTTGTTTCACTCGATGAAAACTCTCCCTCTGCAAACCTATTCTCTTTAGAACGGAATATCCGAAATTCTTTTGATTCCTTATTGGTCTCATTTGAAGTGAACATTGGTTGAAAAACGCCCAAAATGTGTGGCCTGATATGAAAGCGTCATATTCCTTTATGACAACGCTCAGCAACATTTTGCAATGCTAAAAACCATTTAGAAAGAAGTGGTTCGCATGCTTTGCCTCACCCACCTTATAGTCCAGACTTTGCCCTGTCCGACTACTAGTTGTTAAACTCGATGCAAACGCTCTCCCTCTGCGAACCGATTCTCTTCAGATCGGAATATCCGAAATTATTATTTTGATTTGTTATTAGTCTCATAAGGTGACGATATATTATAAAATTGATTACTATAGCTGTGAAGAGTTTTATTACTTATTGCACAGAAATTTTTTGCCCACAACTGCATGTTTGTTAATAGAAAACTTAACTCTCACATGTATAATCAAAAGCTTTTTCTTTTGCAATTTTTAAACGTAAAGCACCACCATAGACCTACATAGACCAGTTCATACTATTTATACCCTAGACCACTATAGTGTGAAGGGTATTATGCGTTTGTGCTGATGTTTGTAACGCACTAAAATATTAGTACTATACCCTTTAAGTATACCGATCGACACAGAATAACTTTCTGAGTCGATTTAACAATGTCCGTCCGTCCGTGTGTCCATGTAAATGTTGTTATTAAAGTACAGGTCGCAATTTCACGTACACGTTTCTTTTGATCCAAGGACGAAGCCTATTGAAAATTGTTCAAAACGGTCCATTATTTCACCTAGCCCCCATACAACTGAACCCCCCGAAAAGGGCTTTTGAGCTCATAAGTATGTATAATATAAATGTATCTCGATAAAAGTTCGAACAATTGAGTTTAATACAAGCCTTGATGTCCTTGCCGAATTTTGAAATGATCGGACTTCATTTGAACCTAGCCCCCCCACAAAGCCCCCTTCGGAAAGTGACTTGAATATCCGCAAATCACTTATTAACACTGTAATTGCAATATAAATGTATCTCGATAAAAGTTCGCACAACTAAGTTTTATACAAGCCTTGATGATCTTGCCGAATTTCAAAATGATCGCACCTCATTTGACCCTAGACCCCATACAAAGCCCTCTTCGGAAAGTGACTTAAATAACCGCAATTCACTTATAAACACTGTTATTGCAATGAAATTAATCACAGACAAATATTATATATGTAGATATAAATTTATCCAACCCATTTTATCGGGATCGGTCCACATTTGCTCCTATGGGCCTCTTTCAGAAAATTAGTTTTTCGTCAATAAATTGCTTAAATAAATCGGAATCAAGGTAATATTCAAGATAAATAAAAAATAAATCAAATTTAATATTCATAACTAATGTAGGGTATCATATGGTCGGCCACGCCCGACTATACTTTCTTACTTGTTGTGTATTTAAGTATTTATACCCCATCTCACTATATGGGTTATTGTACTTATAATCATATAAAACCTAAACAAATATAGATTCTGATTTTATGATATTCGTCTGTCCAAGGGAACAAACCTATTAATTTTGATTTAAATCATAACCTTCTAATATATAGTAGTTTAGATTTACTATAACATAGTATCTATACAATATTATAAAAACCTATAATCAACTTGGTGCCCTTAATCCTATGATATTATATTTACATTTTTATAAGAATCACCTAATACTTGTTTTTGGCCTCATTTAAATATATAGTGGCCGGCGAAACCACGATATTTTCTTACGTCTATATTATTAATACTGTGTCTATTTTTATACTCAACACTTAAAGAGATAGTCATTCCGTTTATATTGGTACATTTGTACAGAACTAAATTAACCACATTTTGACTCATAAGTTTTGCAAATTCGATGTATTCAAAGTTTTTAGATTTTAACCCAAGTCCATATAAAATGTTATCTTTCCCAATTCAAACTGATTGTCATATTAACAGGTTTTGAATTACAAGTAGAGTGATGAAATTTTATGCTTTAGCATGTACCAAAATCTCTCTATTAAGTTCCATACGGATCGGTCCATTATTCACCCTAGTCAGCCTTTTTATAGAAAATTACTTTAATGTCAATACATTGTTTAAAAATCATTGTAAGAAGAAAAAATTAACAAAAATTATTTATCATTAGCAATTTATAACTGAAGAGTTCGATCCATAATTGACTCAAGACCCCTTCCTTCGAATATCAAGCTGATTTTCATATTAATATCGATATTTGACAAGGTTTTGACTGGTTAAGATTGGACATAGATTCATATATAACGGGGCCCCACTAATTATTATTTATTTAATTATTCTGATCAAGAATGAAATACCAATTTTTTTATTCGCTTTACAACTGTATTGTAAACAAAATATAGAAGTTTTTTATAATAATATTATAAATCGAATATATGTATATATGTATGAATGTATATGTATACATATGAATATGTATATATGTTTAAATATTGTTCTCTTTATGAGGCATAAGTTCCAATGTATGCTCCACACATGGGACAGAAATGATTTGCATTGCGGCAAGAATCCATGCAATATGGTATACAACAACAGCAGCTAAAAGTACAGTTTTTTACGATCAAAATATGAATACAATTCAGAAAAAAAAAACAAACAAACAAAAATAATAACAATGAATACAAAACTTACATAGTCCAGGAAAGCAATAGGCATGCAAAATGGGTTTTAGATGTAGAACGATGACGTACTTCTGTTTCAATGCGACAACGACAACTGGGACAAGTCATTTGCATGGATTTTGGTCCTACGGGTTGGGGAAACATTGGTTGATTTGCCATAATCTGAACCGTAGTTGCAGTACTAGGAGGACCAGCAGCTGGAGCACTTGCCGACGGTTGGGCAAAATTATTATTATACATTGGTGGTGGACCGTTATTGACTTGTTCCATGTCTATATGCTGTTGCTGTTGAACGTTTTGTAGTTTATTTTCAACAGGTCTGTAGGGATTTTTAGTATCCATTAATATGAATCGATATGTATGTACCTTGTTGTTCTTTTTTTTATATATATATATGTAACTGTACAACTGTAGTATCCGCGAAACTTTTGATGAATACAAACTTCGACAACTGACTAAAAACATAATGTAGAGAAAACTTAAAATTAAGCAGGCAACATTTTTAAAGTGTTGCATACACTTCAATTTTAATTTACATCCTATTTTTTTTTTGTAAGCTATGTACTATAGGGGTTTAATCTTGTTATATTTCGTTGACCTGTACTTCAATTTCTAAGTAAGAGTATTCGATTTCGAGTTTTGGTTCTTACAAAACTGGTTTATTTTGAACTTCATTGCTATACTGATATTATTAAAGTAATTTTCTGAAGGAAACCTTAAATGGGGGCTTGAGTCAAATAGGTTCCGATTATGATGAAAATCGGAGCACCATTTAGTTGTATATATATAGAAGTATGTAAACTACATCAAATCCGAAGAAATATATACTTAGGCTACTATCGGCCGCCTCATCACATAGAAAATGTTGGTGGGAAAAAACTCAGTTTCCACGTTATCGTTCCATAGAATTTTCAATAATTGTTCCCGATCATGAACAAGTATGAGCGATATATTCGAATATGCCGAATCTTATATACCCACCATCATAGCATCTGCTGTAATAAAATAGGTAGTTGTTTGTGTACTTGGGCCAATCATGGACCAAGTTCTTCAGAAGAGTGATTTCTTTACGAAAACAAATCATTGTTGTCCCTTTTATCATAATACCTAAAATTTGGAACGATTTATTAATAATAAACTGTTTTTTGTAAGAGGTCTATTAAAGACCGATCCTCAAAACATTTGGTGAAGGGGATCTTATATGGGATTATAGGGTCTGATCTCCATAAAATTTAGTAGAAAGTCTTTGGTTCCTATAAAACTTGTTTGGGCTTATGTGGGTGAAATCGTTGACCGATGCTGCCCATATTTGTCGACAGTTCTCTTGTTCTTTTTGTTCGGACTCTATCATGGTTTTGAACAGATAGACAGAGAGACGGACATGGCTAGATCGCTTTAGAATCTAATAAGGATCCAGAATATATATACATACTTTAGGAGATTTTAGACGAATATTTCGATGTGTTACTTACGAAATGGTGATTATAAAAAGAAAGTTTCACTGTCTTCTCCTTAAGCTCTATATCAGAGATACAAGCCGATGCAAAGTGATCGGCGGCGGCGGCGGCTTATTATAGAAATTATCGGCGGCGTCAAATTTTACTTTTTCTTCAGAAATTGACCCTACAAGCGTTTCTTATATTGAAAAATCCCTGTATAATAGTTAGTTATATAGAAACCTGTCTCTATATAAGCTTTTCGAGCCCAAAGATGTCGTCGCCGGTACAGCTCGCCGTTTTTAACCGTCTCGGTCTGTATCTCTGTTCTACATTCGTCTGAATCCGTTCGTTCAATTTTATATAATTGTAACCATACTCCTGTGTGTACCATCGTACTATGGTTCTACCCACTGTTTCATTACTCCAAGTGGTTGTTGTTGTTGTAACAGTTCCACTGTGGCCGATAGTTCTTTCCTGAAATTAGAATAATAAACACTTAATTATTTGAGTTTGTGTCTGTGGGTGGAAGGGGGAACTGGAGAAACTGTGCCACCTCAGTCGGTGGTATGTATGTGGTCGTATGGGATTCTATTATCCTTAGTTTTAATTCAGCCCTCGTTGCTTCGAGTAGTTTTGGATTCTTCGGGTTATTTTATGGTTTATTGTAAGTATAATCGATCTTTCTTTGCCTATTCTTTCTGAGTAGCCTGGTCGAATACTGTTTTATGGATCAAATACTGTTTTAGATTTAACCTTAATCCATGATATCGTTATATGTTATTCTCTATTGGTGCCATATTTATTCTAATCTAATTTACACATTTCATTATTGCACGGACTTCTGCCTGAAAGATAGTGTGGTGGTTTCATATAAAATTCCAAGTCCGTTCTTTCTCTCAGTTTAGATCCATCCATATAGCATCGGATTCCAACGGTTGTTTGTTCTATGTTTCGCTTGACATTAAACAAATATTATTCTATCTGGTATTAGTCTCTCTCAAAGTAATCGATTCCAACTGTTGTTTGCTCTATGATGCGCTTGATCATAATGTTCTATTTGGGATTAGTGTCACAAAGTAACCGACAAATTGTGTCACTGCTATGCGATCGGATACATCCGATGTTTATATATAGCCTTACAATATATCTAGAAGAAATTTTTGTGCAGATTTTTGTTGCGATACTATTCCACAAGGACCCCAATTCGGGGCTTCGGTTCGGATGTGTGCTAAGTGAAATAATGGAACGATTACCTACAGCCAAAATTAAAGTTTACTAAATTTTATTAAGTTATCTGATTAATATTGAAAAAAAAACGCTAATATAGCATCACTTTTAACTGGATACTTTTGTTTATATGATTACTGATTAACGATCCAGCGTTTCTCAAAGTTTTTAAATTTTTATTTATTACATTATTACAAATTATATTGTAAACTAATTTAACGAGCAGGGTAACGATGACCTTACGTCCGTTGTAGAGAAGTAGACTAAAGTCTCTGATTAGAATAGAACCTAAGACTGATAAACTACCAACTAGACTATCGGGACGCCCTTGGTTTTTTCTTAAATTATTTGTTTTTTTGAACACTTGTAAAATGACTCAGTTTATTGTTGTTGAAAAGGAAGTGTATCAAAAATTATAGATGGGTCTTACCTTGACACCGACTAAAAACAGAATAGTGTATGTATTCCGTATTAGAAGTTTCATATGATTACCGCAACTAAATTTCTCATGTACATATATTTTAACTTAAAGGTTTAATTATGTTTCTATATAATTATTTAAGAACCTCTGTAGAATAAGTAAATGTTTACCACATTAGCTATGTTCTACATGTACATTAGAGATGAGTGAACCAGCGATTTCTAGAGAATATCGTTCTAAGTGAATATGATTTGTAAACAACTGCGCCCGCAGTGAACGCAGGTTTTCCTTATAAATCAAGACATGATTAATATTTTTCGAATTTTGGTTTAAAAGTAAATGTTTTTGCAATAGATTTTATTGAATCGAATACTTTTGAATGACAACTTAATATAAAACTTCTAAAATATATACTACTAAGCAAAATCAAATTGGTGACATCAGAGCTAGGGGAGTTTTTTTTTATGTGAAAAGATTTTTTTGCATGAAATGCAATAAAATTTTACAATATTTAGAACTTGAAAGAACTACATTGCATGTAACTGAAAATTCCCAGTGAATTAACAATCACCGTGCTTAAATCGCATTCGTGGAAATATCGCTCATCTCTAATGTACATTATTTTTGTATTCCCTAGCTTCCAAACGTGCTGATATAAACTAAATTCGATTGTTTGCATGTGATAAGTTTACGGAGTTGTATATATACTTCATTTTCTACAAGATTGGCATAACTGAAATATCGGATATTTTGAACTGTAACGTCAAAATAGAAACCCTTGATATCTCGAATTTTTAGCCATTAAAAATGTAGTTCAAATAAGAAACCTATTAAATTTCACTATCACAAACTAGTTTCATTTTACGAATTCCATAATTTATTCGAAAGTTTTATAAGAAATGTTAAAATATTGTGTGACGTTATTCTCGAAACTATATTTATTGAGTTATACCAGTTTTAAGTGTTTGAGTAGGTACATACATAAAGATGTATGTATGTATGTATGTTATTCATATGTATTTATTCAGCATATATGTATGTATGTATTTCATTTATACTTTCGATAATCGTCTTACATACGTTCAGCTTCGAGTTTACGTCGCTTGAGTTGTTTTGAAACAAAGACCGGGGATTTCCCGGTATGAAGTGAAACAATTTGTTTATGTTAAGAAATTTGTATCAAACCTCTAATAAGAAATTTTTCAAATATAAAAACTTTAAAGAATTTTAATTTTATTAAAATTGCTTGACCTTTTACCAATTAATCGCTTAATCGACACGTTACCTATAAGGATCCTGAATATATACTTGGTTAGTTAGTTAGTTAGTTAGTTAGTTAGTTAGTTAGTTAGTTAGTTAGTTAGTTAGTTAGTTAGTTAGTTAGTTCGTTCGTTAGTTAGTTAGTTCGTTGTTAGTTAGTTCGTTATTGTTTTCGTTAGTTAGTTCGTTAGTTAGTTAGTTCGTTAGTTCGTTAGTTCGTTTTTTCGTTAGTTAGTTAGTTAGTTCGTTAGTTCGTTTCGTTCGTGTTAGTTCGTTCGTTCGTTCGTTCGTTAGTTCGTTCGTTCGTTCGTTCGTTCGTTCGTTCGTTCGTTCGTTCGTTCGTTCGTTCGTTTCGTTCGTTCGTTCGTTCGTTCGTTCGTTCGTTAGTTCGTTCGTTTCGTTCGTTCGTTCGTTCGTTCGTTCGTTCGTTCGTTCGTTCGTTTTCGTTCGTTCGTTCGTTCGTTCGTTCGTTCGTTCGTTCTTCGTTCGTTCGTTCTTCGTTCGTTTCGTTCGTTTCTTCGTTCGTTCGTTCGTTCGTTCGTTCGTTCGTTCGTTCGTTTCGTTCGTTCGTTTCGTTCGTTGTTCGTTCGTTCGTTCGTTCGTTCGTTCGTTCGTTCGTTCGTTCGTTCGTTCGTTCTTTAGTCGTTCGTTCGTTCGTTCGTTCGTTTTCGTTCGTTCGTTCGTTTCGTTTCGTTCGTTCGTTCGTTCGTTCGTTGTTCGTTCGTTCGTTTGTTCGTTCGTTCGTTCGTTCGTTCGTTCGTTCGTTCGTTCGTTCGTTCGTTCTTCGTTCGTTTCGTTCGTTCGTTCGTTTCGTTCGTTCGTTCGTTTCGTTCGTTCGTTCGTTCGTTCGTTCGTTCGTTCGTTCGTTCGTTCGTTCGTTCGTTCGTTCGTTCGTTTCGTTCGTTCGTTCGTTCGTTCGTTCGTTTCGTTAGTTGTTCGTTCGTTCGTTCGTTCGTTCGTTCGTTTTCGTTCGTTTCGTTCGTTCGTTCTTCGTTTCGTTCGTTCGTTCGTTCGTTCGTTCGTTCGTTCGTTCGTTCGTTCGTTCTCGTTCGTTCGTTCGTTTTCGTTCGTTCGTTCGTTCGTTCGTTCGTTCGTTCGTTCGTTCGTTCGTTTCTC